CGAAAAGCCATGAAGATATTTTCACCGAAATTCGAAAAAAGTCTAGAAAAGGTAAGTTAAAAGAACAAAAATTATCGAAGATCGAAAGCGTTAGGAAGCGAAGGAATTAGCCACACCCTTAAACTGAAATCAACACTGACTGACAAAGAACAAGTAAGAACCCAAAAGAAGTTATTTCTGAACAAACAGTGCGGATACTAAAGATACTGCAATTGTCTGTAGCCCCCCAGAGGGACTATCTAGCTATCTGAGAGATAATGAGAAATTATTTCATAATAGCGATAGGTAAACTGTTAACATGGTCAACCAAGTTATGCAAACTGAGGCTTAGTCAAGTCCCACATCTCAAGGAAAGCAACTTTGCCCAATTCACACTCCCGTTTTCAATGCATCCATACCGATTCCAGCTAATAACACCCATTAATCTTCTNATAAGCAACTTGTCGGAGTAAAGGATCTCCCTCTGGTAATTGCTGGATGAAAGTGGCCATTCCCCTTACCCTGAACACTTCATAACAAGTATCACTGCTACTTACCACTTACAAGGAAATTACGGGAATAGATTGAACGCTTGAGACAAAGAGTCTGATTGGGTCAGTTAATGAGTTAACAGAATAGTGTCCCAGACGTTGCAGGGGCGCAAAAGCATGATTACAGGGTGCGCGTTTGCGTTGATCTTACCGAGCTTAACAAAGCAGCACGTCTAGACGTCCATCCTATGCCGATAGGCTATCTCCAGATGATACCTTGACCCACGTTGTGCCAAGTTACCTACCTTCATTAAGCCTGTTTGGTAGATACACGTTGAATTGTCGGGCCTATCTCTGTCCCTAAAATATTCCCAGAAGTGCACGGAAATGGGAAAGCAAGAAGGGAACATGATCAGCCATTAAATTCGGCTATTAGAGGGAGAGACTCATACTCAACCCTTCTTTTCACATTCTTTCCACAATCACTGATAGACTTTTTAAAAGAATTGTGTATACTTATCCCAGTCATACAAGAAAGCGATTGAAAGCACACACGTGGCATCCGAGGAAGTTCTTGCCCTGTAGAACCACGTTCCTCGTCAGATGCAAGCAGCCAGGTTTGGACTTGGTTTGGACAATTGGTACAGTTTTGACCACCCATCGGATGATGTGAGATCAGTAC